GTTTTTGAAGTTACGGGAGTGGATTTAGTTGGCTCTCTGCACTTAAATGATAGAAGTAAGAGTTGGATACTGCTATTCATTTGCATTGTGTATAGAGCTATTCATCTGGAGTTGATTCAAAACCTTTCCACCAATTCTTTTTTGTTAGGATTACGAAGATGTATAGCGAGCCGATGCAGACCTAAAAAACTTTACAGCGATAATGGGACAAACTTTAAGGTAGCTAGTAACTCATTGGAGTCTCTTGACTGGAATAAGATCTCTCAAGAAAGTTCCACAATGAGGATCCAATGGAATTTCAACCCTCCTACAGCTGCCTGGTGGAGTGGTTGGTTAGTTCAGATGATTAAGAAACTTTTAACAAGAGTACTAGGATTGGATTTGGATTATTTGGATTATGGCAAAGCACACAAGGGCTATCTGCCTAAAGGGAGGGATGCCTTCGTGGAGGACTTTCTAAGGGAAACTGGCTCGTATACACGTTACACATGGGGAAAACCATGAAAACGCCCATGCAGCCAGACCGTTCGCGAAATTCGAACCTCAGACCGAACTACCAGTGTTCAGCGTCTTTACCGCTCGACCGCTGGTGGGCTGAAGAGTACTAGGAAAAGCCTCCTTAAAATATGAGGAAAATGCACACTGTTTTGTGTGATACGGAAGCGGTCATCAATTGTCGACCCTTAACGTACTTATCCGAAGATGCACAAGATTTAATGCCGTTAACACCTTCCATGTTTCTTCAAGATAATAAGACAATAGGAGTACCAGACTTAGATAACTTGAACAGTATTAATTTGACCAAAAGATACCTGTATCAACAAAAGCTACGGCAAGAGTAAAGAAGATTTGGAGAAGAATATTTAGGGCTTTTAATTCAGCAGAATTTCAGTAAGAACAGTCTGAAACAGATAAGTGTCGTGAAGTTGTTCTGGTTGGTGTGATAAAAAAAAACGAATATTCTGGCCTTTGGGTATAGTCACAGAGGTCTTTCCTGGAAAGGACAATCATGTGAGAGTAGTAACAGAAACAGAAGTAAGAGAACTCGTACGCCCTGTCCAATGGTTACACGCTTTAGAGATTACTAATCCGAACATTTTACTTAGAGCTAAAAAACTTGAACGAAATTTCATGCCAACTGTTTCTGATAAAAAGAACATTCCTCATAATTAAAAATGTTATGAAAATGATTCTTCAGAATTTATACGCAGTTCCGCGCGCTAGAGATAAAAAAGGTCCCCCCCCCCGTAGTGTTGCCATGCTCGCTTTAAATCGTTGAGTTGTTAATAAAAAATTCGTTAAAGTTTTACAAAATATGAAATAGATAAAAAACAAATTTCAAATTCCAATTTGGCTTCCGATGCCCTATTCGGGTAAAACGTACGTTATTCATAATTGATGGCTCTAGTACCGTTGTTCTATCACAATGCGAGAAACATACATACATTTATGCAGATTCTTTATTATTTAATTTCTTTAAATATAATACAGGGCGATAATATTTGGTGCCAACAACTTGAAAAGTGATTTGGACATTTATAGTGAACCAACGCAAAATGCCAAAACGAAAATAATAGTCCTTCAGGGCAAATTGCCCCTTTAGACTAAAACATTTACATTGTTTTTAAAAATAATAATAATGTCCGTATCATTTCTACCCCTTTCCTTTTAGTCTGGTGAAACTAATTTAAATTTTTTAAAAGAAATGTAAAATATAGTAAGTTTTTAGATTTGACAACAAAAATAGTTAATATGATAATAAAAATACTAAATCACACCTGTAGGAAAACTGTTTTATATCTTTTTCCCCTTAAATGTTTAATCGTATAACTACTTAGGTTTGCTAATGTTTGGATTTAATACTTCTCAGCTGCGAGTCTAATACAGTGTAGATTATGTAATTTGTAAACTTCCGGTAGGAGTCGTGAGAGTAAAAATAGAAATGGCTTCTGTTCAATTTCAGTTCAAGAAATAAATTTGGCTTCTCAGTAAGGGAATCCGAAATTATCAGAAAATACAACTTTGAAAGAATTTACTCTGTATGCATATTTTTCTTGATTAGACTGAATATGATGCGTCTTTTGTTTACATTTTTTATTAAATGTGAAACAAGAAAACAGACATATTTTATCACCGATTGAAAAAAAAAATTGAATCAAAGGGAAATATCTTCACTCGCTATAATAATGCATGAATATTTTCACTGCATTAAATTCCTGATTAATGGAATCAAAACAAAATAAAACTGCGTCTTGGAATTCATATCAAATGTGTGACATGTAGATGTTCGATTCAAATTTCTGTTAGAAAAGAACATCTTCTTGAAATGAAAGAAATTTTTCAGATATTTCAAAATTATGCTTAAATCTTTGGAATAAACATAAATTCGTAAATAGAATTAATTTCAATTTTCGTTAGCAATAGTGTTTTTTTACTTGTTTAGGTTTTTCACGAACATTATTACAAGATTTCAGTCGACAATATTTAAATTGAAAAAAAAAAAAAAAAAAAACTTGTAATCTTGAATTGAGAGAAATTTTTCAGATATTTCAAAATTAAGCTTCAATCTTTGGAATAAACATAAATTCGTAAATAGAATTAATTTCAGTTTTCGTTAGCAATAGTTTTGCCTTTCAATTGCAGTCTTACGTTTTACAATGCTTCTTTCAGAAGATCTTAAGCGAACAACCATCACTGAAGGAATCAGGCCAAGGCCTAAGGTGATGCTGGTCCAGTCTAAAAATGAAAGGAATTGCATAGGGCGTTGGGGGGGGCGGCACTCAAGAAATAAATTTCACGTTCCAATGTTTTTTCATTTTTCCTACTTTTCATCTCTGTAATTTTCTCTCTCTGTTTTTGCGAGGGAGCGAGTTTCTCTGTAACTCGAGAAGCTCAATAAAGAGAATTGGATGAAAAAAAAAACTGTCTTTTAAAATATTATAAGGTTTAAAGTCTTTCTCTGTTGTAACTTGTGGCCCATTCTCACTAAGACTTTAAGCGAATTATCGCCAAGTCTTAAACGCACTACATAGACTTTAGAAGGGTGTAAATTACCCTTTATTTTAAACTAAAATAGATGAGCAGAACGCGCACCTGGCGCTTACAAATGAGCCAACATTTATGGCAAGAACTCAAAGCAGAAATTCAATGTAAATCTAAATCTAGATAACTAATTACCAAAGGCTACGCACAGTAAACTAATCGTGAAATTGGTTCTAGGACTTTCACCGGCGTGAAATTACTATTGGCTAGTATAATGCACGTAACAATCTCAAACCCTCACTTAAATACCAGCAAACGGGTTTGCATTCTGGTGAGAAAACGGAAAGAGAGAAGTGACAGTAAAGATTCTAAACATAAAATAGCTGGTAAAAAAATTAAATAAACCTCACAAAATGCTGTCTCTTTCTTATTAGCAATTATCCATTTCCCTCTATCATTAACAGTATTTGTTCATTAGTACTTATACAAATGATTGTTTAAAGTCATAATCCCCAACTTTTTCGCACTGGCGGGAGCACATTTACGACACAGGTAATCAGCATATGAGTAAGCACACTCTTCCTTGAAATGAATTTATAGTTGAACAAAATGAAAAATATAGTTCATAATATACAAAAAAATATAAAAATGACAATTTGTAGAGAAATAAATTAATTGAAAGCTAATAACAATTAGTTTCATTTAAACATAAATATCTTTGTCAGTACGGTTTTTGACACTGCATTTCATCGGGATATTATAATTTGCAGCGTAATGTAATGCTTCTTCTGATCTCGATGATACAAATGATCTCAAGATGTTTATGAGTAATTCAAGATCTACACTTTGTTCTATACTCTGCTACAGGTTTCATCAGAAATAATGTCCACACAAATGAGTAGATCCAAAAAACAATTTCATGTCACACGCTGCCCTTTTTCAAGGAGGAAAGTTTTTTTCTCTCGACAAAATTTCCAAATACTATTATATCTATTGTGTACTAAAAATGTCATTTTAGAAGAAAAAAAAATTACTTCCAGTTCTTCTGTCCTAATTACAAGAAGTTTTACAATGGTTACACTCACTCGCTCACTTACGATAGTCTCACTTTACAATAGTTACCTACTTCCGTTAGAATATTAGAATGAAGTGATTGTTATTATAGCAAAATATTATAAAAAGTATTTAAAACAATAAACTAACCACTGGGCACTCGTAAAACTCTCGACAGACGACGGGTTCGGGATCCTCCATTAAAGCAATCGCTAAGTCATGCTTTGATTAAACATAGAAAAGTTAAATACACTTTTCTCTTTAGCGGTTATTTTCATTTTCAAATTATTTTTTTTTATTTATGCAACTGGTCTAGATATCAACAGAAATCAGCGTGCTCTAAATATTTCATTTTGTATAGAAGCAATTGTTTATGTATAAACTGAAAATTTTGACAATGAACAGAACATTTCTGTTGACAGCGAAAAGTGTGTTCTTACTTTTCTCTATTACACCTAAATTTTGAAAATTTGATAAGTTAAAATTAATCTAAGCAAGCAAGTGAATAACAGTTTTTAAAAAAAATATACTCAGAGGCCCGATATTACTCAATTTTCGACTTTGAAACAGAAACGAGAAATTAATATTCCTGGATATTTATTTGTTAGTTTTTGTAAAAGTAATGCGCCTTAAACATCATTGAGTTAACATAAAAGGTAGATTACTCGCTCTTTTCAAGGGTATAAACCTCTGATTTAGGTTAAAATAACTTGCCAAACAAATACTTATTTAGAATTCACTATACATTACATTTGCACTTTGGCAGCTGAGGCTGATGATTTGATCTGAAGTCCTGTGAAAATTTGCAACTATAACTCTGATTTTTATTGTTTGGCTTCTAAATTAATATAAACCCCTGTTCAAAAATTATTACCTACACTGTATTTATACGTGTTTGCAAACGGTCTCAATAGAATCTACGTTCATACAGCAAAATTTCCTAAACTTTTTAAAATACGACCCACCTGCATGATGACCCATATTGTCATAATTTCTTCGGAAAAAAAAGTGGGAGGGGAGAGGCAGATGCTTCCTAAAATAAAATAATATAAATAATAATAAACCTATGTTACTATCATTAGTTTATAATTATAAATCAGTTCGTAATTACAACTATATATATATATATATATATATATATATATATACATATATATATATAGAGAGAGAATATATATAACTGAAAAATTATCTCCTAGGAAAAGCGAAGTAAAAAGTAGGTAGCAAATTCAAAATTACAATTCCACTTTTCCTAGGAGATAAATTTTCATTTATATATTCTAGTATATTAAATCAAATTTTTAATCCCTGCAGGATAGCAGGATTTTACTTTTTTTAAGTCCTTTTAAAATAAATTTTGAAATTCATTAATTTTAAAGTTTTTATCCTAATTGGTGATAAAATTTTTATTATTAAAAAAAATCTTATGTCTTTCTGTGCATTTCTGTGAAAACCGCATTATCCTATATTTTTCAAATTACTGAATTTTTAATTTTTCTGCTACTTTTGGATCACCCTATATATAGAATTATACAATAAGAAAAGTAACTTCAAAATTTTTCGCTATCCACCAGAAATTGTTTCTCTACTCGCCGTTTGAGAGCTGGCATAAAAAGGCATTTATTATAAAAGAGTTTAAAAACAATTTGTGTTTCTTTTGAGCCTCTATAGCGCAGTAGACAATACGTCATTCTCGTTTCGCCTTTCCCCAGAAAATAATACTTTTTATAATTGAAGAGCTAAAACTCTTACTGTTTTAAAATGGGAATACTGAAAATTTATTTGCTTTGTGGTGCTTCAGTAGTAAAACTTGGATGCGAAGCGCCATTTTCTTGTAATAGAAGAGCGTATTTCAAATTAAAAAAAAAAGAAAGAAAAGAAAAGAAAAAAAAAGAAAGAAAGAAAGAAAGAAAGAAGAAAAGAAAAGAGAAAGCAAAAATATTCTTTTGATTGTAAAGATTATGCTATTCCAAATAATTTATCTTCTGCTAATGTTTCTGTTCCTTTCTTGCTAGCAATCATAACATTACTCTTATGGGCCCCTTGATCAAGATGCAATTTAAACATTACAGTTTTCTTATCAGAGGTAGTAGGTATCTTTAGGGAAAGGTAGCAGAAATATCAAAATTTAAGAGGTGTAAATCTTCAAAGGAAATTGGAACTTCTCTGAATATTCTCTATTCCATGACGTGGATAAAATTAATCGGATTCGGCCTCTTTATGCTAGTTCGGCAGAACCACTTATCAAAAAATTTTAGTTTGAGGAATAACTTGTGAAAATTTAGGCAATTTATAGCTACTTAGTAGTTAATCTTATTGCTTGTCTACTCAGAAAACTGATCCTTAAAATGGATAAAAATGGGTTAGAGGATAAAAGAATAATGGATGAAAAAGACCGAGTGCTTACCATAAATGGTATTTTCTTTCTCCTTTTCGCGTGTCTTTGTGGTATAGCTGGAAGCACGTTCGTCACATAATCGGGAGCCCAGAGTTCGAATTCCGGCGAAAGCATTGAGGATTTCTTCAATTTCTTAGCATCGAAAAAACATAATGACCCTATAAGCAGCAGAATTTAAGTATGCTATAAAACTATTTTCTTCAGGAACTTCCATATGATGTTGGCTGTAACAGGTTCGATACCGGTGGCATTTCAAACTTGCAGCACCTTATTGCATTTAATTTATGGATTTCAAATGTTTAAAGGTTTCGAATTTGAATAATGATATTCTGTAATCTAACAGTTTAATCAGTTCAGAAAATTTGACATGGATAACCTGGTCTGATAGACTTTGTTAGCGAGATTTTCAAGTGAAACTGAACCGGCTACTAACATTTTTGTGAAAAATATCAGTTCTTCAACTGCTTTCAGACCTTGCTTCGGCCCGCATGCAGTTTGAGTTCGAGACTATTACCATAGTGGATTCTTTCCCAAAAGATTAAAATGGCTGCTGTGATAGGATGTCGCATCATTGTCTTTTCCCCTGCAGTCTATTCTTAGCTTCTGGTTAAAACAGGCATTATGGGCACAAAAGATGCACAGTTCAATTTCCTTCTTTCTTAGTTCCCATTAAAATGTATTGTTACAGACTTTTAGACAGTGCTTAATTTCTAAAATCAGAAGTACTGGAGCCTTATGGAAGGACGTCAGAGCAGAACAATAAATAAATAAAATTAATAATTAAAGTGATAAAATGATAAATAATTAAAACTCAATAAAATGTACCAAGATAAACAAAAATTTAATAAATTCTTAAATGACAAATAGTTAAATAACAAAATAAAATACCAGATCCAGTCTGTGGCGCAATTTAAGTTCCGCTTTTAAATATTAAAAAAAAAAAGAGGACAAAATCTGAAAGGTTTCAGATTTTAAATTACGTACAAAGGGGCGCTGTTTTTTTAACATTTTGTGTGTTACCTTTATTTATTAAATATCATGTTCTTCGCACTTAAAAACATAAAATTCAGTTCAAGAGCAATATCGCAAAATAATTTTAAAATGAACATATCTTTAGAATTTCCGATACACGGTCTCGCGCGCTGAAGATAAAAGTGTTTTTCTGTACCACGTTGCAATTGCTCGCTTTGAAATCCTTGAGTTTGTTAATCAAAAATTCGTTAAAGTTTTACAAAACATGAAACTGATAATAAAACAAATTTCAAATTTGGGCTTCCAGATGCCATATTCACAGGAAGATTACGTTATTCAAAATTTGATGGCTCTAGGTACCGTTGTTTCATGACAATGCGAGAAACTTACATACATTTATGCAGATTCTTCATTATTTAATTTTCTTTAAACATAATACAGGGCGATAATATTTGGTGGCAACAATTTGAAAAGTGAAACAACGCAAAATGCCAAAACGAAATTAATAGTCCCTTTGGGCAAATTGTCCCTTTGGACTAAGAAAAAAGTCCGCTAGATTTAAATTACATAGCTTAATAAAAAATTTTGCATTTCTGTACTCCAAGGAACGGACCACAGCGTAAAATGTGGACATCTGCGTAAAATGTAAAATAATAATAATAAATAATAACATAAATAATAATAATAATAATAATATAATAATAATAATAAAATAATAATAAATGGATTGATATATGCTTTTTAATTGTAAAAGTTCTTTCGCTTTGTTCAAAATAGAGACACTATATAATTTCCCACTCTCGAATTTCAGCCGGTAAAATTTACGAAAAAAAAAAAGAGAGGAATTACGTGGTATATACACTAAGTAATATTTTTAAAATTTTTCCTTGGGTAGTTTAACTTGTAATTATCCAGTCATATCAGTCTAACTTAGAGCCAAGTAGAAATATGTTAGAACCTTTTAAATTAATAACTGCATTTCAAATCGTTCGCTTCAGAAATACTCTGAAGGTACTAGAACATTAAAATATTATGAAAAAAATAAAACCAAGAGAGAGTAAGAAAAAATGCAGAATAATTTAAGAAGATCACACTATTTCAAGTTTCTATTAGTTTTAAAAACTATATATGTATATTACATTCATATGTAAAGGGAACATATTTAAGTTTCAGTTAGCCAACAACTTTATATAAGCAAGTTTTCCTTAAAAAGCCACGAAGCATCTCTCTCTCCCTAGGCAAATAGCATGCTTTGCAATAAGCAAACAAGTCAATGCAATCCAGAAGCCTCACTGACAATATCATGAATAAAGGAATATGTTTCCACAATTAAAATTCTGATACTGTGAAGTACAGTCGAATCTGGTTAATTGGTCCACCGAATAATCGGGCCAATCGCTTTTTTGGACCAAATCCTAAAGAACCGAAACAAATTTTATGTACATAAGCCTAATATTATTCGCTTATTTGGACAAAAATTCCGTTTAATTGGACCAAAAAACGTGAGAGCGGACCGCTAGAGTTAACATTCTGCATAAATTCTTCTGAAATACAAAAATTCCGAACAAAGGCGCCTACCATGCAAACGGCAAATTGGAGGAAACCAAGAAAATCAGTTAAGCGAAAACGTACTACCGCTAATCGGCTCAAAATGGCAATAGGTTAGGATTTTAGTTTATTATGCGCATTACTATTTTGGTTAAATATCTCATTAAAATGGTGCTAATTTAATTATATAAAAGTTAGATTTGGCATGAAATGTTGAAGAAAAGCTTCATTAAATAGGTCTTTTAAGACCTGCTATACTTCATAGACCAATGAAAACATAGATTCTAGGAAAAAACCCCACAGGAAAAAAGCCCGTAGGAATAATGCTCACAGAATAATGCTCACAGGTATGAATGCTCACAGAAAAAAGGTATAAAAGCCCACACAGAAATATGCCCACATAGAAAAAAAGCTCACATGGAAAAATGCTCACTTAGAAACATGCTCACACGGAAAAAAGCTCACACAGAAGTATGCTCACATGGAAATAAGCCCACTGATAAATAATTCACATTATGTGTAGATTCAGTTTCTATATAAGATTAACAAATAGGCCATTTTGAATTAAGAAAAGGAGAGGAGAAAGGAAGTAAAAATGAAACAGAATTATGCAGTGAAAAATTATAATTTTAATTGTTAAAAAAATAATAAATATAAGTTACACATTTTATAATATAAACATTTAGAAGAATAATGAATAATGAATGAGAATTTAGAATGATTATTTTATATAATTACGTAAAATATTTAATTTTATCATCAATTTCATCATAGTTTCTTGCATGATTGACGATCACCAAATGTAAGTTTTCATGTTTTCTTTTTTTTACTTGAGTGCATCCTGTATTTACATTAGCTAATAACAGACGTTGAGAGGTAAATCTTTTTTCAGCCCGTCAAATAAAAACCACATACTACAATTAAATAATGAATTTAGTGCGTTATGAGAGCCTTCGCAACAATTTGTGATTTTTAGGAGAGATTTCTCGAAGGCTGCTTAATAATGTTCAACTGAGAGGTATCATCAAGTGCCAAAAAATGTTAATTTTATTTCTAAAATTTTTAATTTCTGCAGAAATTTTATAACTTTTTTGGCTCCAAATTTAAATAACTACATTCAAACATCAATTTCTATCGATACACGTCAAAAGTATGCAAAAATAGAGCAAAGAAACAAAAATTAATTATTGGCAGTTACAGGAAAAAAATGTCGTACAGGGGCAGTGCTATAAAGTATTACAGTACAAGCAAAATTTTACTGCAGTTTTCATGTTTTTATTTACCGCCCCTGAAAAGGTTAATGTGAGCATTCGTCCATGTGAACATATTTCATGTGAGCTTTTTTCCGTGTGAGTGTATTTCTAAGTGAGCATTTTTCCACGTGAGCTTTTTTCTATGTGGGCATATTTCCTTGTGGGCTTTTTTTCCTGTGAGCTTTTATACCTGTGAGCATTATTCTGTGAGCATTTTTCCTGTGAGCTTTTTTCCTGTGGGCATTTTTCTGGTCACCGAAAACATAATCTTTTAAGCTGCAAGGGTCTGTCATAGATAAAATGTAGCAATATAAATTTGCAAAATTAACAGAAGCAGATGCTAGCGTTGGCTAGCTGACTAAGGCAACAGTGTGCTGTTTATAGGCTAGCAATAGTGCGCTTATTCTGAGAAAGACAAAGAATGGATTTAAACATATTACTTAATTTTACTATAAAGAAAGTAAATAATTTAGAGAAATAGCATGTTATGTCCCTCTTTCTTCCTAAACATAAAAAATGTTATTATATTGTAAGGATTATGATAATTTTATTAACAGTTAAATTTTGAGATAAAAATCCTTTCCTGTCAAATTCTTAACTTCAACTTACTGCTTCCGGCCAGAACGTAGTTTTAGAATCACGTCTGAATACATAATGAGGAAGAGTGGTATTTAACCGCGAAGTTCTACTTGCTGAGTTAGAGAGAATCAGAGTTTCTGATTAGCGCGCTTCTGCCTTTCAGCTACTCTCTCTCAAAGCTCTTAATACGCTCGGCCGTACTCAGGCCCTTGATTTCGCAGTCAATTAGCTTTAAGGGGCTAACTCGGTTAGAATCTTGATAGCTTCGGCTATATCTCTTTAGTTTAGATTAGTTTTAGTTTACTTCTTATCCTCTTAAGTTCAAGCCCAAGTGTCGGCTTTTATTGTGCACTACAAGACGGAGTTCTGTTAAATTTTATTTGAATAATAAAGGGTTATTTACCCTTCCATCTTGTTGTTTCTTGTCCCACGAATTCAATCGATTATTCGCTTAACAGTTCTTAAGATTCTTCACGTTCAACAGCAACTTAGCCTTTACAAAGTGAGGAACCCTATAATATATACTATTTGCTTTATTCAAATTTGAGATTTTCTACAAATGGATGTGTTTACTATTTTTTTCACTATAGGATTGCTACTTCGTCCTCTGAGTGAGTTTTACATTCATATTCTCGGATCATTTTTGGTAATTTTTATTTCAATTTTAAATTCAGTGACAAAAATCTAATTTTATTCTTTTACTTGATTTGACACTGAAGTTTTCCTTGCGTCGAGGAGGACTTCAATATTTTTGGATGAATTGTAATAATTAAAAAAAAAAACTTTAGAATGGTTAATAAACTAATTTTGAATACAGAAACGCAAGGATTTTCAAGTGAAAGGGGGATTGTAACTGAGTTTGTTGTATCCACCTCTGGATGAACCTGACCAGCATCAACTGGCAATAAGGCTTCCATGCAACAGGGATATAATACGGTTTCTAGTAAATTCGAAATTCAGTATCAGTGCCTCCTTTGATTGACGAATGCATGATACAGAGCTAAGTAGCTCTTCTCGGCTGGATAATTGGGACACGAGATTCTTAACGACCGGGAACAAATAGCGTGATTTAACGAGTTGCATTTCGAACCGTTTCGCCAGATGCAAAGATCTATCTATGTGTGGAGAAAATCCCGTGAATTCATGAA